CAACTCGAGTCGATCGTCGTTTGCTTGCGCGTTTGACCGCTGGGACTTGTAGTCCTTTTTGTGAGCTTCCGCTTGGATGGGTTCTCGTTCTGTTTTGACCGGCGGTGTCAAACTCATTTTTGTCGCGGGCCACACGAGAATCACGGTTTCCCTTGGAGGGCCGTGATGACTGAAACTGTCTAGAACGTTTGATTCAATTATTGATGAAGTAACTGGAATGAGGCGTTTGGTCACAAGAAAAATGCTAACAAGATGTTACTGGTTTATTGCATAGGAAAAATGTGAAATGTTGGTACAGATTTAGCAGGCATCATGGGAGTTGTCATCTTTGATTTGCCTTTGCGAGCCACTTCAAAGGATGTGGCGGCCCACACCTGGCCCCCCGGGCCGGGCCTTGAGTTGCATTTAACACATTACAGGTAATAATGATGACAGTGATAATACATCATGCTAAAATCAATCGGTTGTGATCAAATCATCATTGATATTGTAGTTGATCAAATTATTGTTAAGATGAAGGTATTATTAGTTCATAAATTCATGTCTATTTACATTGCGATGCATGAAGGTAGCGACATTATTTTGGTTGTATTCCTGCTTACTTTTAGCTTGTTACCTGCTGTGTGCTTCAATAAATGATCAAAGACGACATAGCGAGTCATCCTTCCATGCTGAGTGACGATCCCTGTTCAGAGGGCCATCAAAAAAAACGGAAATAACTGAACACTGAAAGAACCTAGGCCCGTGAGGAATGTTCTGTTGTCAAATATCAGTTGCGTCAAGGATTACGACACAATGCAGATGCTATTTGTTAGCCTGTCACTGACGCACACAATTTTATTTCATAATTTTATGTTCTTTTTAGGGCCTTGTGTGTCACTCCATTCACATGTCTTTTATGTCCTTGTATTTTTGTTGTTGTTGTTCGTGGCTTGGAGCATGACGCATTATTTGCGGGTCGGGCGGATTGATGTCGGCCTCGTTTATTTTTATTTTTTTCTCCCATATTTTGGCTGGTCCTGACAGTTCTTCTCGGGTGTGCAACCTTCTTGAAGCATCGGAACAATAATTTACGGCCATAATTAAAGCAGCGAAAGGAGCAGTAACCAAGCATGATTCGACCTTTGACCCAAATGCCACGCAGGATTCCAGTTAAGGGAAGCCATTTTAAACTAAAAAGAACAGTTCCGTTGTTGTTATTTAAAAGTGGTTCAGGTTGCACAACTGTCCGTGTTTTTGTTCTGTGTTGTGTTATTTTATTTGACGCAAACTGTTTTGTAACGTGCTTTGTTACAGCTGCAGCTGTTGTGAAAGCACAACATAAGTCAGGATTTATTGTGTTGTTAGAAGCGGCGGTTTCAAATCCAACAGGAGCTCATTCGCTGGCATCAAAACATTCGGGGAAGGGAGATTTTGGGTGTCAGTCTGAACCGTGTTCTCACTTTTTGTAAAATACATTTCCCCCAAAAATGGGACAGTAAAAATAGGTTGGCTTCCTGTCTAAAGAGGGCAAGTTGAGTTCCTGTAACTCAATCCTCGAATTCACAATTGTTTTCGCCCTGGTAATTGTGGCATCTTTTTGCACCACGAAGTTGATGAAACTTCTACTAACGGATCAATCGTGTTCTTTGGAGGCCTCAAGGTCCACACTCTTGAGGAACCCTGCCGTAGAATGAGGGTTTGTTTTTTTTTTTTGTTTTGTTTTTTTGTGTCTAATGTTCCGATCGACTCGGACGTACCCCTGAAACGCTTCGGTGTGGGCGTGCTATCGATTTCAAGGCGGGTTAGGACTTTTAGTGCTTTGGAGAAGTTTGGATTTGTTCCGAGTGCTATCGATTGCTTCCCAACGGACGGGCCATTCCTCCGAGGCGCTGTGTCACACGGTCTTCTCAGTCCTCCCAGCTGCTTTCCCTTTCCTCCAATTAGATTTTGATTTCATTTTTTAAAAAAAGTTTCGACAAAATCGTCGAGCGGAGCGCATGCAGGCCACCCTGACAACAGAGGAGAGAAATGGAGCCTGGCGGCGTCACAACCGCATTGGCCTTTACGAAGTCCGTATAGCTTCATGCTAACAAACAATGTCAAAGGCCTACGCCCAATGCATCAGCAAGTGTGGCGCGTGAATCGGTCGGTCCAGCAGACGGACAAAGTCAGTAATCGCAGGCACAACTAAAAATGACTAATACGAAGGTGGTGTTCTAGTCTTCTTGATTTGTCTCTTCATAACGGTATACTACTGCTCCCTGGTGGCCGACTCGCACAACGGAAGGAGTTGCAAGGAATCAATCAAATTGTTTCACACGTTCCATGATCATGTTATTGTGAGACATTTTATCATTTTAATATCATAGGGTCTTCCTTATTAAAAAAAACAAAACAAAAAACATCTCCCAAAAGCTCTCCTGCATTGTTATGGTGCAACGGTCTACTGCTTGTAGACCGTTCATCTTTTATTCTTTCAAGTTATTTCAAAAAGTTCATTTTTCAATTGATCGGACAGTTCATCAATGATCAGATTTTTTTTTCTGCCCAACGTTGGAATCGGAACTCCAAAAATCCATATCGGTCAATGAAACAAAGATGCTCGTGGGCAAACGCCGTATTTCATTCGCGAGGTTGTGCGCCATGTTTGTTCTTTGGCTATGAACTCCTCACGTGTGCGCAGTCGGCGCTTGGCAGCGCAAACGCGACGGTGTTTCGAAAGTTGCGACAGTGGTGACGGTCACGTTTGGTTCTTTGAGTCTCAATTAGCCACCTTTCTGGCCACCTTGCGCCAGCTACCTCCTTCCGCAGTCGGGAGATTTAAGACTGGGGCAGACTTTCAGGGCGCGCTTTCCTCTTAATTGGCCTCCATCTGCGGGAAAAAGGGCACCGGGGGTGACAGCGCACCTCCGGCAGCAAATCAAATATGCCGAGTTGGGAGGCGTTGAACCAAAGGAGAACAGCGCTGAGCCCCCTGCTGAAAGTCCCCCCCCCCCCCCCAACACACACAAAAAAAAGTTGCTCTGGCTGCCACGACACCGTTTATGCCAGAAGTGTGTGTGATGGGGAACGAGGAGAAAACCGAAAGCGGCTCGTCTGGCGGCATTCCCTAACGCCGTGTGATCGGAGGCGAGCGTTCGGGGATGCTGGGACGTGTTTTTGCCTTTAATCCTCGCAGTCGTGCCACTCGCCGTATTAGAGTCGCATTTAGTTATTCGCGCTTGCTCTTCATCTCGATGGCTAGCCACTTTGTTCCTTTTTTCTGTCCCAGAAGAAATAAATATTGCAAAAAATGTGTTACAGACGTGACAAAAAAAGTCATCCTTCTATATCTAGCGATCAAGCTAACTATCAAGCTAGCTTTTTTTTTTTTTTAATGGTGCAAAAAAAAGACAGACTGCCGTGACGATTAGCATATTTCGTAAAAATGGCGGCCAGGCTACTCCCCCCCACACACACACGCGAAAAAGAAGCAAAAATGTCGGCCTATACAGCTCTATTTTTTTCAGCACACTCTTGTTTTTACACAAAATGGCCAACATGCTCCATTTTGTCACCAAATGTAGAGATGCAACATTCTGCCATCCTTCTTTTCTCGAAACAAACAAATAAGTTGCCATAAATAAAAAATAAATGAACATTGCGCCACCATTTTCACAAATTTGGGACTGTATGTCACATGAGCAACATTCCAAGGAAATGCCCAACACAAAATGCGCATTCCAGAAAAATAGCTGAAAAGCTGCACTAAAACCTGATTCTTGGATATTACATGATGCGATGACGTACTGTTTTCCAAGGAAAAGAAATCGCATAGCTTCCCCCACCCCCCCTCACACCTTCTGAATTTCAAGGCATTTAGACGACACTGGAAAGGGTGGCGCGCTCATTTCCTGCATTCTTCATCGATCGGCGCCGCTGGAGAAGCATCACGTTTAGCCCGGACGACATACGTGACAAATGACCTCTTAATTGGGGAGTCCGTATGAATCGACAGCAGATCAGGAAGTCACCCATTCACTCACAGCGACTCTGCTTTTGACCAGGAGGTGGGCGGATCTCATCGCAAAACCCGTCATCAGCCCTTGCCAAAACGCTGCACGTGATCATTTGCTCTCAAAGTGCAAGTGGGAAATTGTTGGGGCTGGAAAAACGATATGAATTCTGACAGATGAGTCAAAAAAGGCCCTGCGTGAGGAATTGCATAAAATCACTGTAGTTACAAAATGCGGTGAAAATGCGCCCTCTAGAGGTGAAGATCGGCCCTGGCGTGACATCAGAGCCACGTGATTGGACAAGCCGGGTCAGTGCCCTGATCGGCGTGCAATTTTTCTGGATTCACAACGAACGCTGCCAGCACACGTTTCGCCGAGGGCATCGGCGGCTCGTGCGATATCGATTCGGGAGGAATGAATAATTCTGTTGATTCTCGGCGCTTGCGTGTCTGGAATTCTCAATTGGCGGCATCCCCGCCAATTGAGAAACCCGCTGCCGTGTGCGGATGACGATTCAGCCGCGATGCTTTCAGAATCGGCTCAAGTGCACGGCTGTGGTGAAATTCGAGCCCGGCACCCCCTCGTGACACGACTGTGACCTTGTGCAAACTTGCTCGGCCGAAAAATATCCAAATGCGGCGGGGTTGAATGTGAAGTGCTTCAAACCCCACCTAAAGTTGCGCGATTAGAAAATAAATAGAGAAATAAATAAATAAATAATAAACTCATCGATGACTTAGTCCCCCCCAATATTTAAAAACCTCCCTCATGCGTAAGTGTTTCAAGGAGCTTTGTGCCCCCCTCCCCTCCCTCGAGTCCCCGCAGGTCGCTTTGTGCAGCGGGGCTTGCGGCGAGATGTCGCCGATCCACCTCGACAGTAAACCGGGGAACGCGCGTGCCATCGCCCGGGGAAAGGGATGAATGAATGGATGGATGGATGGATGGAGGGCGGCCGTGAAACGTGTGGGCACTTCCCACCCGGAGCGCACGCACAGCAATTTCTCGGGATACAAGTCGACGCACCTGGTTCTTGTGACGAGTCCCGTCTTCGAGTTCTGAAGAGGTGTCCATGTTTCTTCCGCCCCCCCCCCGGCCGCTCAGCGTCCCGCGGAGAATCTGCGCATTACATCCACCGACGCGAACGCACGCGAGCCGCGCAAGTCCCGCAGCCTTTACTCCATTCGCGTGGAACTTGGTGCTCGGCTTCTGCCCAAAACGCGACGCCGCCGCTGCCGCTTCGGATTATTCCGCGAGGGGGGAATGGTCTGCGAAAACGAAAGAGGGGGAGAAAAAAAAATCGCACGCGATCCCCACACAGAAAAAGTCCTTTACTCCGTGTTGGGAAAAAAAACAACCAAAAGCGGGTGGGGGAAGAAGCAACGTTATGTTCCAGTGGCGAAGCTCCTTCCTCTGTGCAACATCCACGCAGGCTCTGGTTCCGAGCAGAAGGGAGCGAGTGAGCCGTGCCGCGCCGCGCTGCGCCGAGCCGAGCCGAGCCGCGCCGCGCTCTCCTCCGCTGCGCAACTGCGCTCCCTCCCGCCTGTCAATCAACGCCCCCCCCCCCCCCCCCCCCCCCCCCCCCCCCTCCCCCCGAGTATATTATGTGCACTCACAGCACAGCGAGACTAAGTAGGTGTGAATGAGTAAACGGCTCTCTCACCATGCCTGAGCATCGGGATGATGAGGAGCCGTCGTCATGTGTTA